AAGATGCACCCTTGTGCACTATATAAGGTCATTTGAACAAACTATGCCATGAATGTGGCCATGAGATTGATCATTTGGCTTGAAAGCCATGAATCTTCACACATGATAGCTCATTTCCGAGAACATTTTTTTTAAATAATTACCGTATTACAAGTTTATTATTTTTCCTGGAAACTTGGTCACATATAATGACACAATACGAAGGTTTTCCAATTTTTTGATTTTTTTTGAATTTTTTATGCCCGTTTTAAAATGCGGTCAAAACACTAGGAATGACCGTTCCTAGATAGTGGTTGAATCTTGTATTTTTTTTGTTGTTTCTCTGACTAAATAGATACTTATGTACCGAGAAATGATTTTTGGAAAAAAGTAAATAGCAAACTATGAAGCAACTGTAGTTCAAATTTGACCCACTTCCAACTGAATCGGCGGAAATTTGTCTTTTTCACGAGACGTGGATCAAAACTTTTTACACCCAACCATTTGGTCAATTGTGCATTAAATATTTCCTAGTATTTTATAAAATTGATTTGGTCCAATTTTGCAACAAGTATATGGTAGGTCCTTCACAAAAAAACTCATTTTGGACACTCGAAAAAGGAAACTGAATTTTCCGTGCAAGGAAAATGAAAATCCCTTAGGAAACATTGTTTGGAATTCCAAGATGCACCCTTGTGCACGATATGAGATCATTTGAACAAACTATGCCATGAATGTGGCCATAAGATTGATCATTTGGCTTGAAAGCCACGAATCTTCACGCATGATAGCTCGTTTCTGAGAACACTTTTTTTTAAATAATTGCCGTATTACAAGTTTATTATTTTTCCTGGAAACACGGTCACATATAATGACACAATGTGAAGGTTTTCCAATTTTTTTGATTTTTTTTGAATTTTTATGCCCGTTTCAAAATGCGGCCAAAATGGCGGGCTTGATCGTTCCTAGCTAGTGGTTGAATCTTGGAAAACTTTGGATGTTTCTCCGATTAAATAGATACTTATGTACCTAGAAATGATTTTTTGGAAAAATAAATAGCAAACTATGAGGCAGTCGCAGTTCAAATTTGACCCGTTTCCAACTGAATCGGCGGAAATTTGTCTTTTTCATGAGAGGTGGATAAAAGCTTTTGAAACCCAACCATTTGGTCAATTATGCATTAAATATGACCTGGTATTTTAGAAAATTTATTCGGTCCAATTTTACAACAATTATTTGGTCCAATTTTAGAAAATGATTTTTTCGTCCAAAAAAAATGAAAACTTCCTTAGGCAATATTGTTTGCCATTCCAATATGCACCCTTGTGCACAATATGAGATCATTTGAGTAAACTATGTCATGAATGTGGCCATAAGGTTGATCATTTGGCTTGAATGCCATGAATCTTCACGCATGATAGCTCATTTCTGAGAACACTTTTTTTGAAATAATTGATGTATTACAAGTTTATTATTTTTACTGGAAACTTGGTCACATATAATGACACACTGCGAAGGTTTTCCAATTTTTTGATTTTTTTTGAATTTTTTATGCCCGTTTCAAAATGCGGTCAAAATGGCGGGAATGACTGTTCCTAGCTATTGGTTGAGTCTTGGATTTTTTTTGGATGCTTCTCCGATTTAATAGATACTTATGTAGCTAGAAATGATTTTTGAAAAAAAATAAAGAGCAAACTATGAGGTAGCTGTAGTTCAAATTAGACCCGCTTCCTATTGAAACGACGGAATTTTGTCTTTTTCACCAGACGTGTATAAAAACATTTTACAACCAACCATTTTGTCAATTGAACATTAAATATGGCCTAATATATTATAAAAATGATCTGCTCCGATTTTGCAACAAATATATGATAGGTCATTTAAAAAAACTCAATTTAGGCACTCGACAAATAGAAAATGAATTTTTTGACCAATTTAGATGGTTATAACGTCGTACTGTATTCTGATTGGTCCGTGGACGCATCACGCGGATCATGCATCGAACACCGTCGGATGATCGTGGATCCAACGGCAGTCATCAGCCCTTCCACACCATCCCCGAAACCCTAGCTCTGCCCTGTGGTAATTTTACATCACCCCCCGCCTCCTTTCTTTCCCTCGCTCTCTTCTCGTCCTCTCCCCTTCCAGATCCGCCCTCGCCGCCACCCTCCCCTCCCCTCGCTCTCCTCGATCCAGATCGCTCCTCCCTTCCGGCATTACGGCGCCCCGAAGCGTGTGTGCTCGCCGCGTACTCAACGAGAGGATAACGCTCCCCACCTCTTCTCCACCTCGCGCCTCCCAGTCGTCACTCCCCGCCTCCCGCGATGGTCGCCACGGCGAAGATCCCGCAGCGGCAGCTCTTCATCGACGGCAACTGGCGCGCGCTCGTGCTCGATCGCCGCCTCCCCGTCATCAACCCCACCACCGAGGCCTCTATCGGCCCGTACCAGATCCATCCATCCTACTTTCTCTCTGCTTTCCGTTCGCCCGTGCCGTTGGGTGCTCATCGGTAGGTTTGCGCAGGCGAAATCCCGGTGGGCACCTCAGAGGACGTGGACGCGGCGGTGGCGACTTCCACTCCCGACTTCCCTGACTGGACCGATGGTGACACTGCAGCTAAACCACATCGCGTGGGACACCGGCGACGTGCAGGGCCTGGCCGCTTTCTACGAGGAGGTGCTGGGCTTCGAGCGTGTCCCGGCGCCCACCTACTCCGGCTTCCAGGTCGCCTGGCTCCGCCTCCCGGGCTCCCCCGACGTCGTGCTCCACATCATCGAGCGCGACCCGGCCGTCGCCGCCCCGGGGGCCGCGCAGGGGGTCGTCGCGCCCGCGCAGCTGCCCCGGCGGCACCACCTCGCCTTCTCCGTGGCCGAGTTCGACGGGTTCATCATCGTGCTCAGGACCCGTGACACCCAGCTGTTCGAGAAGTCCCAGCCCGACGGCCGCACGCGCCAGGTCTTCTTCTTCGACCCCGACGGTGAGTGAGCGATCCCCTCTCCGATCCTGTTTTCTCACCATCCTTTTAGATTTCCACTCTAAGTGCCTTGGCATTTGAGTAATATTGTGTCGAATTGACGAAATTCTGAGAGAGATTCTTAAGTAGGAGAACTGGAAAACAAGTCTGTGATTTTAGGAGTGGCTTGAAATGGGAGGGTTATTCAGGTTGGGTGATGGAGGAATGCCACAGCCTGAAACTTGTTTGCTTCATCCCAATCTGTCACATGTGCTATTTGTGAACTTGCAGTGTGCTTGTGGTGAACTTTTTCTTCAGGCGAAGATCAGAGCTGTTGGGTTTATGCATGTTTTCTGTCCTTAGTTGGGATAACTTATGATAGGTAGTATACTAGTGATGTTAGCTTATCATGTCTAAGTTCTTGAGACGGGGTTAGTTCAGCTATGCATTTCATTTCTGCAACATATATGTACAAATTTTTCTGTAGACTGTCGTGCAGTATGTGTATTGCAATATGCTTGATTATGACCAGATTGATCAGTTTGTAGTACGATACTTGTTTGCTTAATGCTTTTGTTTCTCTTTCTAGTTGGATTATTATTAGGTCTGGGTTGGTGAACATGGTCTTCTTAGCTATGCTTATTTTCTGTTCCCTTTTGATCTCTTCGCATCAATTCTGTTGCACATCCCAGTAATCCTAGATTAATTTGGTTCTTTTGTTTTACTTATTGCAGGTGACACTGCTCTGCCATTTCTGCGGCTTATGGGATGCCAGCTATCACGAGATATCTCCTGGGTCGTGGCGCTGATCCAACTTGGACGGTGGAACAAAGAAACAATGAGTTTCTGTGCGACAACTTTGAGTATTGGATTATAACGTGAATTGTTTTCTGATACTCTGTCGCTCAAGTGTTAATTCTAGTCTTGTTTGCTCACCATTCGATGACTTTTGCTATTATTATAGTAGGCACAATCAGCATGACTTCTTATGTGTTTCTTTTGCTATTATTATAGTAGGAGGTTGCTATTTTTTTATTAGAACAAACATGAAATTGGTTGCTCTATTAGGCAACTCATTTTTTGTGTGCTATTTCCTGGAGCTTCGAGTGAAGAGTAGGCTTGCAATGCCTGCCTTTTTTGTGTGCTATTTTTTTGTGTGCTATTCCCTTGTTTGGGATTTTCTCCCAATTCCTGGGCATCTAGTTGCCAAACTATAAATTGTTATAGCCTTTTTTCTTACTGTTGATGCAAGATTATATGTTTGAGGGTCAAGTGATGAGGAATAAACCATCAACAATATGATGGAGCTCTTCTCCTCTGATTCTTAGTATTTAAGTCTCTGATGGTACCTCAACACCCTGATATGTTTGTGGCTTTCTATGCTATCCACATACTGAAGGAAGTCCTGCTATCTTCACAACAAATATAATTTTGCTTGAACGAGTTTACGAAATGAACTATCTCCACAACAAAGATATTTACCATTTGTAGTTCCAATCTAAAGTGTTCCTTGGTTTCATTAGTGGTTCAAGTGATGATGAGAAACTGCAACAATATGACGGGAGTTACACTCCTATGATTCGTAGATAAAGTCTGATGATTTCTTATCTTCAAATAACCGTTGTCTTGTGAAATGCAATGCTCCTCACGTTCTTGTTTTCTTACGAATTGCTTGATGCAATTTCTAGGACGGGTTTCTTTGACACTGAGGGAGTATTGTCTTAGTACTTGTATATCCATCAGCTGTTACTGTGCCTTTGTGGCACAGTCTAATCTTTGTTGACCGATCATATCTGAAGCATGAGCCAAGCACAACATGTCTACAGTTTCAGAATGGAAAACCAATCATGCTATAAGTATTAAGCAACTCCATTGCAGTCTAATTTGTTCAGAATGGAGATGAAAACTTTGGTTGGTTTGCATCATACCTTATAGCCATATATATATAAAGCTTCCATTTAACGTCCAAAGAATGCATACCTGATTTGAGTTAGACTCTAGTCATGACTATTTTATGTAGGTGGCAACTGACAAGAGTTTCAGTCTAGCTCATCTAAAATTTCTCTATATGCAGGAGGGCGAGCTGGAGGAGCTTGAGAAGGGCGTGGAGCCTGCGTGGGAGCGCTTGGTCCACCCGCTCAATTGCATCGTCGACAGGCTGAACGTCGTTGACCACATCAAGGCCGTCAAGGACTCGCCCGACCTCCGTGCTGCCGTCGAGGATATCCAGGTAGTCTCTTCTTCTGTCACACTACCTATGATCTGGACGAACGAAGCCGTTGATTCGTTAGCGCATCATCAAATGATGATGTTGTCTCTGTATTTCTTCTTACTCCATGAATTAATCTTGATGAATGCTGCTTGTTTTGCACAAACTGACAAGGACACTAGCTAGAGCGCACTACCGCTCCTCTTCTTGCATGCAACATAATTTGAAATTCATCCAGTTCCACTGTGCGTAAATTCATTCAGTTTATGAATGTAAATTTAGTGCACAAAAATGACCATCCCAATTCTGAATTACTGAAATGATATCCTATATTAATGTTGCTACAGAGTAAATATCACCATTGGGCATGAAATGAACATTCCAGTAGCTTAAATGGAGTAGCTTAAAATTAACTGAAACCATTTGTGCTTGGAGTGATTAAAATTAAGTTGTGCCAAATTGTTGCTGCTACTGTCATATCGATTCTTCTGTAATCTCTATTATTGCCTCTGTCAAACTGATGCTATGAACAAACACCAAGGAATACGTCAAACTGCTGTTGTTTATGATGTTGTTGTTGACCTACTGTTAATGTTGTTATTGACTGGTTGTTGATGCTGTTGTTGACCTGTTGTTGATGCTGTTTCAGGAGAAGAAGGACCTGCTGTTGATTCCCACAGGATGCGCCCACAACCGCCCCTGGATCGATGTTGCTGGAAACGCCCCTGGATCGCTACTGCTGCATGGAGGAGAAGCATGCGCGCCTGGGTGGAGGAGGAGCAGGGCCTGGAGCGCTTGGGCGGAGGAGCAGCGGAGGAAGATGGGGATGGGGATTTGAAATCCCCACCTGGTTGGAAGGATTTCGCCACCTGGTAGCGATGTAATTTCGTGCGTTTTCACCTGGTCGGAAGGATTTCCCCACGGTTGAATACCTGATTTATACTGTCATGATTGTAAAGTACTTTGGTTGCCGTTTAAATATTTTTGTGTTATTGGCTCTGTTTGAATCAAGTTATTTGTTGCTGCGCAAATAGAGAACTGACGTGCGGCACCAAAACAGCACACTTGGGTCCCATTTCACTAGTGGGTCCTTTAAAATGGGAAAGAAACAAAATAAAACTGACAAGTGGGACCTAATTGGATGACCTGACTAGTGGGACCTGGTTCAAAATGGATTGTAAAAAGGCCGAGGCCCAAATAAGAAATGGTAGCAAAAAAGCTAAAGGCCTAGAAATCAAAGGCTTAATTGTTGGGCCAGACCCATGTAGCTAATAAAAGCATAGGAAAAAATACATTAAAAAGGCCGAATTGTTGGGCTAGGCCCATGTAGAAAACCGAATTGGCCCGGGCTGATTCTTGTGCCACATCAGCTTGCCACGCTGGATGCCTACGTGGCCTGCGGAGGCTGCTGGTGACCAAAACAGTACAGTAGGCATATTTTGGTCATAAACGTCTACGACCATTCCAGAAGAAAGGTCAAAAATATCAGTTTACGACGGCCAGCTTTTGACCTTCTGGTTTTGGTCACAAAAAGTTCACAAGTAGAAAACTATGACCATTCAGTGACCAATAGTGGTGGTCACAAGTTGACATGTTTCTTGTAGTGGTGGAGTGGCAGTACTCCGGCAGGGCTTCGCCAAGCTCTTGCGGAGGAGGAGAGGTGTTGGCGAGGGGAGGGGTTGCGCCTTGGATGTGTTGCTGCAGCCCTCCCCTCGCCCCTCTATTTATAGGAGAAGGGGAAGGGGGGCCGGCCCCCTCTAGATGGGATCTAGAGGGGTGAGGGAGTCCTGGATAAGGGGGTATCCGGACAGTCGTACTATATGCTTTGGCCGGATTGTTGGACTATGAAGATACAAGATTAAAGACTTCGTCCCGTGTCCGGATGGGACTCTCCTTGGCGTGGAAGGCAAGATTGGCGATTCGGATGTAGATCTCCTCCTCTATAACCGACTCTGTGTAACCCTAGCCCCCTCCGATGTCTATATAAACCAGAGGGTTTAGTCCATAGGACACAACTACAATCATACCATAGGCTAGCTTCTAGGGTTTAGCCTCTCTGATTTCGTGGTAGATCAACTCTTGTAATACTCATATCATCAAGATCAATCAAGCAGGAAGTAGGGTATTACCTCCATCAAGAGGGCCCGAACCTGGGCAAACATCGTGTCCCTAGTCTCCTGTTACCATTAGCCTTGGACACACAGTTCGGGACCCCCTACCCGAGATCCGCCGGTTTTGACACCGATATTGGTGATTTCATTGAGAGTTCCTCTGTGTCGTCGATGTAAGGCTCGATGGCTCCTCCAACCTTCAACAACACCATCCTGGGTGAGACTTTCCTCCCCGGGCAGATCTTCGTGTTCGGCGGCTTCGCACTGCGGGCCAACTCGCCTGGCCATCTGGAGCAGAACAACAGCTACTCCCCTAGCCATCAGGTCAGGTTTAGAAACCTAAACTACACTACCGACATCCGCGAAGACTTGATCTTCGACGGATTCGGGCCCATGTCGGGAGCACTGAACGGTCACGACGTGCACGACCTAGATCTGTCGTCGAACAGTATTCGAAACATCGCACCTGCTACGGCTCCGGACTTCGTCCCAGAGCAGGTCGTGCCTTCCGAGGACGGGTGGATGGACCCCGCCCCAGAGGCCGCATACTCATCAGCGTTGGAGACGAACACATACTCCGCTCCTCAGGAGATTTGTGTCTCCGGACCCCCGGACTTGTCTCCGACCGTATGTTCCGGACCGCGCGCATCTGTGCCCATCAAATCTAATTGGGCTCCGATTATGGAGTTCACCGCCGCGGATATCTTTCAGCACTCACCCTTCGGAGATGTGCTAGATTTATTAAGGTCTCTCTCTCTTTGTCAGGAGATTCCTGGCTGAACTATGTTCGGCTCGAGTGGGAAGCTGGCGACGAAGAAATTCGTTACCCACCCACCACCCACTTAATAGCCACGGTCGATGACTTGACCGACGTGCTTAACTTCGATTCCGAAGACATCGAGGGTATAGACGACAATGCGGGAGAAGAACAGGAACCACCGCCCACAGGGCGCTGGACTGCCACCTCTTCATATGATATATATATGGTGGATACTCCCAAAGAAAGCAATGGCGATGAGGCAACAGGAGATAACCCCTCAAGGAAGAAAGCATGGGCGTCACCGGCGCCGCTCCAAGCCCCACCACAGCAACACCGACACTGGAGAAGAAAATGGGTTAAATCCATCTGAAGCTAAGCCAAGTATAATGTTTCTCGGGTCAGCAGCAAACTCTTTGTGTTTATCATTGAAGCTTTTCCACTCACTACCATGAGATGGATGGCTCATTACATTCTGATCTCTGTACTCTTGGTTCCTAGAATGCCACAGTACATCCTCTCTTGTTTCAGCATCATGAAACAACCTCTGCAATCTTGGTGTAATTGGAAAATGTCTCAGAACATTATGAGGAACCCTCTTCACAGCATCGCCATCTTTCCATCTTGATGATTTGCATTTCGGGCATTCACTTAAGTTGGCATAATCCTTCCGGAACAGAACACAATTATTCTTACAAACATGGATCATATCATATCCAATTCCAACTGCACGAAGGAAATTCTTCATTTTACTGTAGGTGTGTGGCAGCTCAGACGCATCTGGGAAAGATTTGCGGAAAGCAGCCAACATCGCATCGAATGATTTGTTGGTCATCCGCTCAGATGTCTTCACCTGAAGAAAGGTGACCATAAATGAGAATACTGACAGCTTATTTCCTGGGGTGACAGCAATGTTGCAATGTTCCAACATGCGGGCCCACCGTTTTTCTTCTGCAGGTGAAAGTTCACGGAATGCACGAGCATTTCGTAGCATTGTTTCAATGTTGGTCAAACTCACTGGCTCTGCCACCACCTCCTCCTCCTCCTCTTCCACCTGAGCATCAGGCAGATCAAGATGGTGATCTGCTGCTTCCACGTAGTCAATAAAATTGACGTTCACAGCTTCACCATGATGAACCCACCTAGTATATGTGACCGACATCCCATACAAGTGTAGATGATTTTGCACAGTTGACTGGGGTCTTGTAACTGAATTCATACAACTGCTACACAGGCCGAGCACATCTGATTTTGGACCACCGTACTCAGCTCTGATAATGTTCATGAAGTTTTCAACCCCCTCGACATATGCAGCGGAGAATCTTCAAGGAGAAGTTATCCAAGTCCTGTCCATCTGTTAGACATACAAATTAGTTCTTCTACTAGATATTACAGGCAAAACATATATGCTTTTTTATGAAGTCCAGAAAAAAAATACCTAGGTCGATGTCTAAAGCTATGGCAAGATATTTGGACGAGCAGATCTAAGTAACGAAATATATGTAAAGCTAATTCAGCAAACAGATTTGAGTGCTAAATTATGGCAGGCTTTTTCAGCAGTCAATGAGGCCGAGCACACAGCCATCGAACTATCGAAGGACATCGCAGAAACAAAGATCGAGTATAAAACGGTGTAGAGCTATTTCACCTAACAGATTGGCTACTAGACCATGGCAATCTACGTCACAATAAATATATATTGCAGGATATTTTAGCAACTAATTGGCCTTGGCATACCATCTCAGAAAACTACTTCGGCAAGGAAGATTCAGTGCAGAACAGGGCAAGGAAGCTTCTTAAGCAGGGCATATTGACAGTAAACTACTTCGGCAAACAGTGAGATTAACAGCGCTATCAGCTAACATTCAGCGCTAATCCGACATGAACGGGGCCTCAGTCTAGAATGCGCATACCGTGGGAGAAGCTGACCGCCGTGCGTCTCCACACGAACGTCGCCAGCGGTGGCGGCGCTGACCGCCGTGCGCCTCCACAAGAATGTAGCCAGAGGTGGTGGCGCGGCTAGAGGATGGCAGTCTACGAGAGCGTACTGTGGGAGCGAGAGGATCGCCGTGCGTCCCCTCGATGAACCGCAG